GAATATATATTATCTCTGTGTTGATTTTCTATTACCAAATTGATAGGCAAGATCAAAGAATAGTTATATTTTACTATAAAGGTTTGACGTCTATCCCCAGGAACACAGAGAACCAGAGTTGAGAAAAAGTTTTTTTCCTCATTTCATAATGAGTATCAAATTTCTTTGGATGTTCTTGACCGACCTAAGACATAAAGTAAACTATCACCATAACATTATAAGCCTATGATTTGACCTTAATTTTAATGTTTTTGTGACACCTCTTTTTAATCTTACACATTTTAGAAGAGGATTGTTTGTTGTCTGCTGACTTTTAAAGTTGTAAATTGTCATCTGTTGTGTCCTTTCAAATATCATCTTTTCATTATGTCTATTTTTGGTCATTTTCTTTAGCTATAATCATATCTGCTCAACTCAAAGTATATAGAACACTCAATTCCTGTAAAATCATGGACCTTTTCTGTATCACTTTTATTTATTCAGTCATAGTTTTAATTCATGAGCTTTCTCTCCATTGGTGGCTTCATAATTATCATCAGATTTATATAATGTTTTAAGTGACAGTTTATTTCATATGGTGGCATTATTTAATGACTTTCAGGTCTTTGAATTATATGCTCCCTTGTACATATTCTTCCTTCTGTCTGGATCACCTTTCCCTGTCTTGCACCATGAACCATCATCATGTCCATTGACTTTCCTATGTCCTCCAATCTAGGCTCAGTTTACATGTCTTTATCACTTAAAGGCCATCCTTGACATCAAGCACCAGATTAGGTGTGTTTAAATGCCCTGGGCTTTCTCTTATTATTGCACTTAGCATATTGCATTTATCTGTTTTTCTTCCTGTGTACAGTCATTCACCTATGAATTTTTAAAAGTCAAGTATCTTACTTTGCCCAACAGTAAGCATGTTTCAGAACACAGTTGTTGCACAGATGAATGAATATGAAGGTATGAGTAAATAAATCTTTATATTTCCCAGAAAACTAGTCCATTACTTACCAGATAATACATTTCATTTCTCAAACCACTTATGAGAACCTGCCATCCTTTTGATACTTTGAATTTAACTATCCATGCCAATGTATGCATGTTTCCTACTCATAAAATGTTACCAGAGGAAATGCTTGCTTTTGTGGAAGAAATGATAATGAAAATTAAGAGGTTCTTACCTAGACAGATAAGTAACATTAAAATTTTTCTTAATCTGGCATGCAAGTGAGGTTTTAGTGACTCATTGTTTCTGTTTAGTTGCTAAATCATATCCAACTCTCTGAGACCCCATGGACTGTAACCCGCCAGGCTCCTTTGTCCATGGGATTTCCCAGGCAAGAATACTGGAGTGGGTTGCCATTTCCTCCTCCAGGGGATCTTCCTGACCCAGGGGTTGAACCCACACCTCCTATGTCTCTTGCATTGGCAGGTAGGGTTTTTTTTACCATTATCACCAAATTAACCTTGCTAATGGCATTCACAGGTGAGCAAGAAATTCTGCTTATAGTTAAGTCATTTCTCAGACACTGAGAAAGCAAGCAGGGTGGAGTCAGAACCCCGGGATATGGGTGCAGCTTCCCACAGATACATAGTCTCAGCCGTGTGTGTGTGTGTGTGTGTGTGTGTGTATGTGTTAGTAGCTCAATTGTGTCCAACTCTGAGACCCCATGGACTGTGGCCCACCAGGCTCCTCTGTCCATGGAATTCTCCAGGCTAAGAATACTGGAGTGGGGTGCCATTCCCTTCTCCAGGGGATCTTCCCAACCCAGGTATTGAACCCAGGTCTCCTTCACTGCAGGCAGATTCTTTACTGCCTGAGCCCCCAGTGAAGCCCTGTCTCAGCCCTGCACCACAGCTACTCTGCCCTTGGAAACTCCTATTTCAATATTAGTGTTGATGTTCTTTCTGCTCCCTCAGAGGCTGATTTTCCTTTTTTTTTTGCATTGGAAACTGAACACAACTATTTATTTTCTACATCTTCCATATTTTTTTTTTTGAGATGGCAAAGCAACCAATGCTTTAGACAAAGAATAGCTAAGAAGATTCCAAACAGAATTGAAGTAGCTAATTAATTTATTATTAAATGCTTTATAACCAATTATTATTCTATAGCGAATCTGACTACAATGCAGGAGACCTGGGTTCCATCCCTGGGTTTGGAATATCCCCGTAGGAAATGGAATGGCAAGCCCTCCGGTATTCTTGCCTGGAGAATCTCATGGACAGAGGAGCTTAGTGGACTTCAATCCATGGGGCTGCAAAGAGTCAGAGACGACTGATCACACCCACACATAGTACTAAGAACAGGTTTAATTTGGAGTTTCACTTTTTAAGTAGATTTTCTTTTACTTGGCTGTGATGCATAAACATGAAAACTAAACTCTGAAGCCCAATGGAGACTTTAATTATCTCCTCTGGACAAACGCCACTTTAGGTACCATCTTCCATGAGTACTTCACTCAATACTTAATCAGGCAATACTCTTAAAGATTTATCTTTCACCTTTCTTAACTTATTTGTTATTAATCTGAGCAAGTTGCCAATGACTAATGCCACTCATTTTGTTTTTATCATATAGAATATTTTCTATGCAAAAATAATTGAAGCCATGAGGGAAATTTATCGACTTCTGGATAGAAACATATGAGGTATTCAAGAGTATCAGCAATTTTTTAACCAAAATTTAAACATGCCAAATTGAAATGAAATCCAAAAAATCATTGGAAGGAAAAACAAAATTAGCTAATTTGGGATACTGATAAGACAACACTACTTTTTGAAAACGCATCAAAGTATCTTTAACAATTAAAATCTCAGTCTGAAGATTTCACCCCAACTTAGCACATCCAGCAATAGGGGTACCTCCTGAGGGTGTTGCGCTCATCCCAGCCCAGGCCAGTGGAACAGCGCCACCTGCTGCAACTTTGTCCAAGTCCTTTCTACACCTTGTGAAACTTCTTTGCGGAAATTTGCTGACCAGTTATGTAGTATTGCAATAGTACTTTTCCTTCCTATTTTAGCTCCGTCGTCTGAGTTCTGCCAACACAGCTAACACTGCATCAAAGAGTGCATAGTAGTTGAAAATAGTTAACAGCAAAATTAATAATCTTAGATCCATCAACATACATAAGCTTTCCAATACAGTAACATTGTAAAACATGTGTTTTGCTTAATGCTTATTTCTTCCTGGAGTTTTAGCTTTGTCATCCTATATTTCCAGTTGACATGAATTTGTTTCTCTGTGTCATTTGAATAACTTCACCTTGGCTTCTCATTTGTGTTGTCTTCTTCCCACCAGGAAGAAGCAACTCTTCTTTGAGCTGTCTTCCTTTTTAGATGTTGGGAACAAAGGTTTCTACATTTGGGGGACTGGAGTCCAGTGAATCTTAAAATGATATTTCCTCAGCAAATCAATAGAAGGCATTGCAAAGTGAACTTAACCTCACCGCCCCTGCCTCTGCTTTTTCCACTTGGAGCTGAATACAGAAAATATTTTGCCTGACAGCCTAAAGGAGATTCTCTCTCTTTCAAAAGAGTTGCAAATGCAGGAAGAGGTTAATTGGATATTAGCAGATACCTCAAAATGATATTTCTACTTCAATTTGGGTCTCCATAGGATATGGAGGGAAGGATCCGGGTGTCAGTCTCTTATTGTGAGAGACTGATGTATGGGAGAAAAAATATAACGTGTCAGAGGTATCTCCCAATGTGTGAGGCTTTAAAAATGAAATTACCCAGAAAACTTCAATGGTGCCTGATTTTCTAGTTAGGGCAGTTTTCTGCTAGTGGCACCTATGATTGGTAAATGGAAAAAAAAGAGCACAGAGTTAAAATTTAGTTTTAATTTACACCCTGAGGATTATATTCTTTAAGAATGTTGATATTTCTGATTGAAAATGAAAATTAACCATTACCAACCAGCATATGAACAGATTCACACTAAAAAAAACACACCTTTTTTGATTAGATCTGAAGTCACAACTCGGGATAGACTCCTATGTTGCCTCTTGATTTTTGTGACAAAATCTGAAAATATGAAATTTAGTGACACCATTCACATTATGCTGCTAACAGTTCCACAAAATATCTTTGTTTAGGGACCTAATAAAATTGGTCATATAAAGGGGAAATGAGATTTTTAATGCAAAATGAAGCTGACAGTGCTCTTCTATTACCAGGGTCTTATTAGGGAAAAATTCTCTGACATCTGTTTATCCCCTGCAGCCAACCTTGTATTCAGAATACAGTAATTGATTCACAGCATCCACTGGGGATCTAACTGGCTCACTTTTCCACACCACACTACACAGGTATCTCGGCAGCTAATTCTGAATGTACATCTACATCGTTATCTCCTGGTGAACTGTGACCCTAAACACTTTGGAGGCCCAGATGAAAGTGCTTCCTCCACCCTCCAGTGCTAGGGGTGTAGCGGATTCTGCAGCCTGGCAATTCACACAGGACATCCAATCAGAACCATCCCCTTTGAAGCCCTTCTCAGCTGGGAGACCATGAATGATTCATAACTTCTCTACACAGACTAAAGAGGAAGAGCAAAGCTAGTGTGTATTATTCAGGACTGCATCCTCAATAAGTCTCCATGTTCAGCAAATTGCTACAATGTTTTTTGCTTAGTTTTTACTTCCATACAACATCTCTTTTGTGTACAAGTTTTAACAAAGAAAGAGCATCTGTTTAAGCAAACTTGTTGATTGGGTTATTTCCCTCTCCTTTAATGAACGTTGGTGTAGTCACAGATTTAAGGGAAAGGAAAGAGCCTGGCAGGAACCTGGTTTCCAAGAAGAATCCCAAGATCCCAACTTCACAATTAACGTATGAAGTGTGTTTGATGTCCACTTTCATTTTTTTCATGAATAGGGTCAAAATATTAATTTTACAGTGTACCCATGTGCAAAAGTTGGCTTCATAATACCACATGTAAAACCAAATGAAATATTTTACCCATTGGAAAATGCATTTGCCAGCCAGGACCACTGAGCTAGATGTCTATGAGGCCGAATTCAGCATCCAGATCAAGTGAACATCATGGTAACGATTACTAAGCATCTTCCCTGTCCCAGGATTGTGCAGTCACAATAACTGGATATTACCCCCCAAAGAAACATCAGTTTTGAAAGCTTCATTATTAAGCAAGCAAGATTTTCCTTGTGTCATCATTCACAGAGGGTTTATTTTCCAAGTTGAAATACAAGCACCAGGAGAAAACCGCAGAAACTCTACCTGAAAGGGTAGTGTCACTCAACATCATGCAGGTTTTGTTCTAGAAATGCCAGATTTTTGTTGTTGATTTTTTGCTTGCTACCAAATCCATGGATCTGATGCTGATGTTCCTAGCTATAACTTTGGTATCTGCAAGCATCTGTTAACAATCCTGGGTTTTAGAATTTCCTAAACATCTTTCATTTGTTGCATTCACATATGTAATAATGTTTTCAGAACTCATACATGTCAAGAGTTTCTTAGACTCAATTAACCACAGAATATTACTTGGTAGTTAGAATTACTTTAGCTTAGCTTGATAATTTGAAGAAACCACCAAGAAAGACTAAAATTAAACTGAGGTTCCCAAAATGTGTTTTTTAAAAGTTCTTAAAAGAAGCTGTGTTTGTTAAAACATTCAAATTGATTATATTCTGATAATACCATATGCTTTTTTGAAAAATATTGCCTTAAAAATAAACCCATGAGGGTTTCATCCACCTTAGATCACCTTGCTTTTTTTTTTTTTTTCCTTTGGCCCAGGTTCCCAAGTGGGCTACCTGATTTGCTCATTGCTGGAGCTGATTGACAGGTATGGTGACCAAAATGCAAATGATATGCAAATAGACACATTAGGGCAGTTCTTTGTAAATAGAATTGCTGCTTATGTACATATGGTACTTTTTAACAATGGACATCTACCTTTGTAAATGCAAAACCCTCAATTTCTACAAACTATGTAATGCTCAGATTTAGTTCTACTATTTTGAAAGCAAAATGTAAGGTAACTAGATCACTAGATATTATTCATGGGAACAACTTCAATATATAGATTTCTTTATCCATAATTGTATGCACTTAAGTGTCTTCACTTCTTTTATTATACTGATATATTTTGTATATGTGAGTATGTGTGATTAATGGTTATGGTACTACCTAAAGATATGGTTATAAGTGTGGGCCTCTCAGGATGAACTTTTATCTGTATATTGCCAATAGAATCATTTAAATTTAGCTGTCGTATTTTTGGGTTCTACAATTTCCATTTGATTCTTCTTTGTATCTTCTACGCCTTTGCTAAAAGTTTCTATTTCTCTATTGGTTTCAAGAATCTTCACGGATGCTTGAAGCTAAATTTTTATAATAGCTGCTTTAAAGTCCTTGCCAGATCATTTTAACATCTGCGTCATCCTAGTGTTGGGGCATGTATATTGCCTTTTTCTGAGATTTTTATGCTTCTTCATATGTTGTGTAATCTGGGATTGTGCACTGGATGCATTAAGTGTTATTTTATAAGACACTAAGTCTTGTTTAACACTGTGGAGAGTGTTGATAGTTTTATTTAGTAGACAGTTGATCTGGTTAGGTTTAGGATGTGAGTTCAAACCTTCCTTCTGTGGGCTGCCAGTTCAGTTTTCATGGCCTTTGCATTGCTATTTGGATATGTCCTGAACATGTGCCATTCAGCCTAGGATATGGGGGTTAGTTCTTATCTCAAAGCCTTCAATATGATAGAATCAGTTCCACATACATGAGCTCAGAGTTGAACCCATAAATTCAGAGGACTTTATGGAATCACTTTCCCCAGTCCCCACCTCTTCATAGTCTCTCAGTCCTTTCCCATTTCTGAGGTTCATCGTTTTGGTCTTCTGGCTAGAAACATGGGGCTTTCTTTACCCTGCTCTACCGTGCCCTTCTGCAAAGGTGTCTGCGTCTGGTGCCCATTGTCAGAAGATAAAAGAGACTGGACTCAACCCTCTTGGATGGGGAGGACCGCTGAATGTAGAGGAAGTTTCCCTTTCTTCAGAGTTTTTTAAAAAATAACCTTTTTGGAGTATATTTAATTTACGGTGTTGTGTTAGTTTCTGCTGTAAAGCAAAGTGAATCAGTTACACATATACATACCCCTCTATTTTGGACTTCCTCCCCATTTAGGTCACCACAGAGCATTGGGCAGAGTTCCCTGTGCAAAACAGTAGGTTCTCTTTAGTTATCTATTTTATACATAGTATCGGCAGTGGTATATCTGTCAACCCCAATCTCTCAATTCTGCCTCCTCTAGGCTTCAGTTGCCAGTCACTGCCACTCCTATCACAGAACTATACAGGAAAATGGAGAAAAGAAGGGAAAAAATAAATGAAAGTTTCTCACCTTCTCTTTGTGTCATGAATTTCTTTTCCAGCTCTTTCAGCAAGAACTGAAAGATATTCCTTGAATTCCTTTGGGCTGCACACCTGTGGCCACTTCCACATTGGCTGAGAAATAATGGAAGAATTTTATTTTTTTATTGGTAAAATCATTTTTCCATGGTAAACTCATACTGGTTCCAAGGTTCTTTAACTCTGGTTTCATCTCAGAGCCCCCTGCTGCTGTTCTGTTTCAGAATTCTCAAATAGACACTTGATGCTTTCTGTCCTGTATTCAATGGAAACAAAAGGGTAGAGTATGTTTATTCCACACTACCAGGACTCTCTTGAATTACTTTAAATGCAATGATAGTCTCGGTGCTCATCATGAGAGAAAAAATTGTTTCTTTTCTTTTTTTTTTATTTTTATTTTTTTTTCATTTATTTTTATTAGTTGGAGGCTAATTACTTTACAATATTGTAGTGGTTTTTGTCATACATTGATATGAATTAGCCATGGATTTACATGTATTCCCCATCCCGATCCCCCCTCCCACCTCCCTCTCGACCTGATCCCTTTGGCTCTTCCCAGTGCACCAGGTCCGAGCACTTGTCTCATGCATCCAGCCTGGACTGGTTCTTAACTAAAAATCAGAACTGAGAAGGAACATGATGATTCAAGTTACAAGGTGGTTTTGGAATATGTTGGTTGTGGTGTTGCTAACAGAGATGTAAGAAGCCTATGAGAAAGGTGCAAGGTGATTGTGGGAGAGATGATGTCTTCCACTTGAAATCAGACAGGGAACCAGTCATGGTTGCTATAAATTTAGCCTGCCTATTTGTCTCTTGTAAGACAGCTGATGGAAGGAGCCCAGAGTTCAAGCTAGCTCTGGGTGGAGGAATACGTTGGAGGGATTAAAGTAGCAGTACATATGTTACAGGGCTTCCCACGTGGCACTAGTGGTAAAGAACCCGCCTGCCAATGCAGGAGATTCAAGAGACATGGGTTCAATTGCTAGGTTGGAAGATCTCCTGGAGGAGGGCATGGCAACCCACTCCAGTATCTTTGCCTGGAGAATCCCATGGACAGAGGAGCCTGGCAGGCTACAATCCACAGGGTCACAAAGAGTTGGACATGACTGAAGTGACTTAGCATGCATGCATATATGTTACAAACCTGCCTCTTTATCTCTTTTCTCTTTTCTCCTATTTTTTGTTCTTTCAGAGTTAATGAAATCTTTAGGAATTGTCTCAGTTTCTCTGTGGGAAAGGAAAAGAAGGAAAGGAGATTTTAAGAACTTTTTGCAAGTTCAAGTAATATTGATTTACAATATTGTGTTAGTTTCAGGTGCTCAACAAAATGATCCAGTTACGCACATTTTTTTTTTCAGTTTCTTAGGAAAGGAAAACTTAGTTCAACACTCATTCCACAAAGATTTATTGATAACTTTTGGAGTGTCAGCACTGTTACAGGCCTGGAAATCAGCTAGTGAAAAAAGAAAAGTTTCATAGAGTTTCAGGATGTTCTAGTTCTTTTATTTTCTGGAACTTGCCCAAAAGTGTGATCAACAGAAGACAGTGGGAAGACGAGTGTGGGGCAGTGATCAAGAGAAGGTGACTTCCCTGGTGTTGAGTGGTTAAGACTCCAGGCTGCGAATACAGGGGATCCAGGTTCAATCCCTGGTCAAGAAACTAAGATCCCACATGCCACTTGGTGCAGTCAAAAGGTTAAAAAGGAAAAAAAAAAAAGAAGCAGCTCAGCCAAAAGATTTAAAAGAGAGAGAGAATAAGATGACACTAGAGAGAATGTGGACCTTCAGTGGACAGAATAGACCTTTTGTCAGCTACCATGGCCCACCCTGCAGATAACACTTCCTCTCTGTACTAAATTTTGGAGGCTCTGGATCCTAATTTTAAAAGAAAAATTATAGTCTTATTTTTCTGGAAAACACATATGTTCACTACTTATTATCAACTCTTTACGATGATGACTTCATTTCTACAATTATATTTTCCCAATCTGACTATAATTTGCTCTACAAAATGCATTCATCCCTTGCTTAGATTTCTCAAGAACTGGAGTTAGTAAAAGAACCAGAGGGATAAGTCAGGTATAGTTCCAACACCCAAAAAAGAGAACATTCTAATAAAACAATTGTGAGAAAAAGATTATTTTAATACAAAGTCTAAAATTGTAGGTTTTACTGTACACTAAGAGTGCTTTGAGAAGGAACTGCTAACCAGATCTAAGCTTGAAAAAACAGTTGAATAAAATGGGAAGAGCATTTATCTCAGATAATACAAACATCTTTTTTAAAAAGTGGGGGGGGAAGGCATAAGACAGTATTGTGATTTCGTATAATAATATGAATTTTTTGGAGAGGAATCTGGATTTGAATTCCAGCTTAATTATTTACTGGCTATGTGAACCCTGGTAGCTTAGTGGTAAAGAATCTGCCTGCCATACAGGAGACTCGAGTTCAATCCCTGGGTTGGGAAGATCCTTTGAAGAAGGAAATGGCAACCCACTCCAGTATTTTTGTCTGGGAAATCCCATGGACAGAGGAGCCTGATGAGTCCATAGGGTCGCAAAAGAGTCAGACACAACTTAGTGACTAAATAACAACAACGTGAACATAGGCAAAAGGGTTTTTCTTCTTCACGCCTCAGTATTTGCATCTATAAGCTGGGGAGAAAAGGAAAAAAAAAAACTAACCATCACTTCAAGGATCTTTTTTAAAAAATTCCACATATAATTGACCTCATATGATATTTGTCTTTCTCTGTCTTATTCCACCTATTCTAAATGAGTAGGGGTATATTAACTGAAAGGCAGAGTACTCAAGGAGAAACTGCTTGTGGTTAAAGAGTTGTGAGATCACGGGAAAAAAATGAGTTTGAGGTCAGTATCAACATATACCCAAGCATCTAACTAGTCTGGAGTTCATGAGAGAGGTGAAAAGTAGAACTACCCTTAGAGAAGAGAAACAAGAAATCCCATAAGAGTGGGTGAGGAATGGATGGGTGGATAGATGGGGTAAGTGGATGGATGTATAGATGGTAGACAGACAGATAGTAGAGTGATAAAAACAGTGGGCTAAGAATTGAATCCCTTAGACAGTAATATTTCAGGAACAGAAATAAAGTGTACATTATACACAGGTGACAAATAAGGAACACTTAAAGAGGTAAATGGAAGTAAACGGGAGGTGAAGGCATTGAGAGAAATTTTTAATTTTGTTTTTCCTTGAAATGAACAGCTATTGCACAGAGATGAGAATGGAAGAAATGTCAGGGTTTTTTTGGTTATCTATTGTTAAGCTTTCAGCAAAACAAACACAAAACAATTATACACCTAAAGTTATTCATATGGGCTCCCCAGGTGGCACTAGTGGTAAAGAACCTGCCTGCCAGTGCAGGAGGCTGTAAGAGATATGGGTCTGTCTCTGAGTCGGGAAGATCCCCT